GCCGTATTCCTCGCCGCCGCCGCATTCTTCACCGCCATATTGCTGCTGCTGGTGTTGCGGTTGCGGTTGTCCAATAGTATCAGCAGCAGTATCAGCACCCGGCGAATATTCCTGTTGATCCCACCACTGTGGGGCAGGAGTAGCCGAAGGATCAAATTCCTGGATCTGCTGCTGTTGTGGGGGATAGTGAACATTTCCCGGCGGAGATGTTGGCAGAGCATTTTGATGGGCTGTATTCGGACTATTAGAATTTCATTGCATAACCAGACACCTCTAGGCAGACAGCTAGCTAACCGCCCCTTTATCTTAACTCCCGAATATGGATGAGAGAGACTCACGATAATCCCAAGTAACCGTTCCTGTCATCGAATTATGAAAGTAAAAATTCTGCTGTGACTGGTCCCAATGTGCAGTCCAACCCGGCGGGACCTGAGGAGGTAGAGGAGCACTCGGGTTAGCAACACCCGGTTGCTGCATCGATTGCTGCGGAATAGTCTGCGCTTGATACATTTTTGCAAACCGGAATACCCTATCGGAAGAAAAAATATCACGGAATAGGAGTTACAGAAAGGAGAGAGAAAATGGCATCGAGATATAAGTAGTAGAAGGTCGATTTCCAGCCGCAGCCAACGATGCCGCTCTTCCGTGCTAAAGTTGGACAGAGGCGTCTGTGCGATTGGTCGACAGAAGCGACTGTTTCTAGTTGGAGAGGGATTAACCGAAGCTCTGGAGATGTTAGTGAAAAGGCACAACTTTAGGGTCCCTTTTGGATGAAGTAAGTTTTTGTGTCACCTTGTGCGACCATGAGAGTTAGGCTAACTTCCTGTGTAAAGATTTAGGGCTCTGTGAAGTGTCGGATCCTCGTGCAAGGCCCCTTCCATCACTATACAAGTAACACTAAACCCATAATATCTTTTGTAAATTGATGGTTCAGTGTTGTCCCGCTTTTCGAGTGCTGCTGTGTGAAGCCAGGGGAATCTGTGCGAGAGGCTGAAGGCTCAGGGGTAGTCGATGGTAACATCTTCAGAGGGGGAGGAGCCTGGAGGGGGGGCGAGTGCCAAGTACTGCTGGGCAATATCAGGCAGTAGATCAGATTACTAGACCTGATGTGGAAAATGATCAACGGAAAGTATGCCCTTCATGGCATTTCTAACCACCTTCAAGAACATAATTGGTTCGCCACTACTTGGCACTCGTGCCCCCTCCAGGCTCCTCCCCCCTCCGAAGATGTTAATTTAAGCGAGAGGTTCGCTTAAGGAGATCCGCCGGAGTATTGTTTTTCCGTCACCGCATGCCGAGGCTAAGATCAAGTGGAGTTAAGCGCAACCAGGACTTTATAAGGGCCCGAGCGGACTTGGATCATGCCCCGCGGAAGTGTTTTCAGGGTCTAAACAGGGTGCCAGCTACTCGAGGAGGACAGCAGAGTGAGCAAATTAAAAGCCGGCTGTTGTTTTGGAATAATTTACATAGAAATGGAAGAGTTCAATACGGTAATGACAAGTCACTCAGGAGTGAAGGAGCCGGAGCGTGTACCTGTAAGACATTAGACGTCTTGCATGACTTATCCGGATGGCGCTTGGGCTAGCTGAGATCTTGTTCTCGGACTGGTCCGAAGTGTGCTGGTTAGTGCTCCTTTACTGTACTTGTAGTTCCTAAGATATCACAAAATATTTCTCCTTCTGGAGTTAAAGTTGGTAGTTCTCACGAAATGGGGCTTTTCAGACTTGTCTTAAAGCCTCGCCGTTCCTATTGAAAAATAGCTGCTGTTTCACACCGGTATGTAGCCATAATTCAAGCCTTAAGAAAAAAAAAAGAAACTTAAGCCTTAAATAGCTTACCAAAAAATCGCCAAAGAAAATAGCTTTACTGGTCCTGTAAACAGTCACCCGCCCAGCTCTACTAGGCTCTACGTTGGCATAAGACGCTGTGCTCCCTATAGCAGCGAGAGATCCACCAGCTTGAGGATTTGAACCAAATATAGGGAATAGATGTAGTAAAAACAGTTGCGGTAACACCTGTGCCACATGATAAGGTAGCACTGACTATCTCACAGCTCCTCTCCGAGGATTTAACGGTAAAGTCCGAGCCCAATGCGGTAGCAATGAACGTAGCGCATGTACCATTAATATACCACATTCCGGCATTGATGATACGACCTCTAGTTAAACCTCCAGTTTTGATGTCGAGATAGCCGGTATCCGAGAGGATACCCCCCGTTGGTGCTGTGAAGTATATAGGGCGAAGGTTGGTATGCCGGCATGTTCACTTCTATACAGGAGCAACTAGGCGAGTGACAAAAGAGTGGATTCATGTCTAACGAGTGAAGGAGGGCAGATGAATGAATGAGAGTTCAACCAGAAGGAAAGATATGCTATAGAATCTCTTATAGAGAGATAGTCGGCGAGAATCAGAGACAGAAAAGGAAATGACGGAAGGAAATGCAGGATATCCGCCACTATCTCGCAAACAAGATACAAATTGAGTGCTATAGTCAATAGCTAGTGGTAGCCTGTTCTATCTCCAACGCTTCATGTTTCCACTATCAAAGTCAAACGGATATAAGAGTTTTCCAAACACTGGATGGTTCCGGTGAGGACACGAAATGCTAGTTCTAGCTATAGTAGGTTTCAACAGGTGCTAGTGAGCAGTTTGTTGTGGCCGCTGGTGTTATTGTCCCAGATTTGGGGAGATATTTCACCCCTGAAGTTGGGCACGTAGACTTAGTTCCATCTATTGAAGATTAGTATGAATTCACTCAATTCAAATCTGGAAACAAACCAGGTGGGGTTGGGATGAATTCGCCTGTTTGAAGACTTCCTTTGACGTTGTAGTGGTACCAAATTTCATTGAATTCGCCATCCTTGCATCCAATGGTAACCGGAAAACCATGAGCGGTGGTAAGAGCGCTTTGGATAGCGGCAGCTGTATACGTCTTTGTGGAAGAAGGTGTAATACCAGCGATAGCAAGGGTCTATTTAAAGAAGCCAGAGATTGGTTCGGCTCTAACTTAGTGAGTCGGGTTTAATTACCTTGTAAGAGTCTAAAGTCTTGAACAAATCAACAGTAATACGAAAGAAATCGACCATTTCTTCTTTAGAAGAATATCCAGAATAACATTCAGTCCTGAGAGTGTTGATGCAAGTCCCGTGTTTGTCCCATTCGTGCTTCCAGAGGCTCTCATCGTTACCTTGATAATCTTTCCAGTACCGGTCCATGTAGGTGAGTAAGGAGGTCTCCCCCGCAGCCTGAATGCTTGAGCGAACGTCGGTGTACTCTCTGGAGGGGTCGCAATACTCCTCCCATGTTCCATCGCAATTGTCAGGCCAGAGCCCGTGTATAGTCCAAGAGTCGACTACGAAAATAATTGTTATCCCATAAAACCCCGTAACCACCTCTGGGAGCACTTACCTGGGCCAATGGAAGGGCTTGTATCCCAAAACTGTGTCTGGAGAAGCTGTCCGCCCGGATAATTGAAGCAACATATGTCGGGAACGGCTGTAGTATTATGGCAGCTGATCTGGGTATTTGAGCAAGCTGCCGGAGTTCCTGCGTAGCTTGAGAAATCCGCCGCATGATACTTAAAACCCAGGGCAGCCTGAGCAGACCCAAGAACGCAAAAGATGGAGCGCATAGAGAGAGGCATTGCAGCTGTTCTTCAAATTTCTTAGCTGGGGATCTGTTCATAAATACTCTACAATCGCCATCAGGATATTATCTAGTAGTTCTTGTACCACTATACTAATCAATATGTGAAAGTATTTCCCCTTGCTTCCTTCAAGAAGTGTGCAGGGGGCTCAATGCCTTAGCTCGGATAGGTGTGTCGAGTATATAAGATAGTATGGATCTGGTTGGATATTAAGATACTTCTCAGTGATGAAATTAGGAAGCTCAAGGTGGCAACTAACCGGGAAGGTACGCCGGGGCTCTCCCGAAAGAGGCAGTCCATAAGCTTAAGTTGGATGGTGATCGGAAACCTCGGCACGTGGTGACCACTAGTATTTTGCTTCTTTGGTAGTGGAGGGTTTGATTTTTTTCATGCCGGCTGCATGACCATCCTAGACATAGAGGGAACAAAAACGTGCTAGGAGGCCTGACTATTCCCCTCTCGATTCGTTGATCACGAGCCAGTGCCTTGATCGTTTCTGACATGCTTACTCTGGACCTCATGTCGGAGCCCTTGTCGAAGTGCACCTGGTCAGTCTTTTCTTTGCTATTGGTGGGGTAGGTTTGGACAAGGTATATCTTTGTGGTTTATCGGATCCTATCAAGCCTACATGTGAGGAATCCCGAGTGTTACCGTACGAGACAAAACTAACGCCTTCGTATAAGTAGAACATTACTTGATCCTTAATGCTTGATGCCCCGCCAAGCATTACTCCCCTACCGGTATTCTTTGAATAGAACTGCTTTCCATCTTAATTACCCCTCACAAGAGCCTAAAAAAAGTGCAATCAGGGACTTCAAATTTCCCCTTATTGAACTATCGGCTGCTGAGGGGTAGCGTCAGTGAGCAGGGGAGGGGGTGGGTGACTTTTCCGGATACCCGCATGGCCGACCGATGAAGGTCGAGGGGGAAGAGGAAAAGAGTAACTTATGAATACGCGCAGATATTGGGGCGCAGGATTTATATACCATAAGAACTGGAATAATTGAACTTGACGCTAGGTCGTTGGAGTTACCTCTGCTAGTAAGGTTTGCTACATTTTTCGTTTTATTTGCCTCAGAGGGGGCTGAGAGTCAGTTTTTTTTCAGCATGATCCCCCATTTTCTCCAAAGAGAGGGATTCAGCTAGCCAATAGTTATAACGCTTGCTGGGGTATGAATCTATACAGATTGTTTTCAGGACAGACGTAATAGGGTCAGTTCTAATCGATTGTCTATCGGACAAGAGCTCCGAAACCTGATATCATATCACACAAGTACAGGTACTTCCGAAGCTCTTATTGCAGTGCAATTCAAAGCAGTGGTTCAGAATATACATACTTCCAGGGACTGCTAATGATTCAGTGGTGTAGAGGTATCATGGGCGCTTGCCATTCAGTGTGCGCCCGACCCGGGTTCGATTCCCGGCTGAATCACAATATCAAGCCTGCTTTTTTTTTTTTTGCCTATATTTTTTCGTTATATCTTCTCTCACTCCAGGTATGATACCTTAAGCACCCATGTGTGCTCTACCTTGTTAAGCATCTAGGGCATTTAGAATAGGCCTGGCCCCACTTTTCTCTTTCCCGCGGATACAAGCAAAATAATGGTGATAGCGTCACACCGATATAATAAGTGACCAACGATAAGTGAGCTCCTCACATTTGTTCTCAAATTGGGCCCAGCTATGGAAATTGAGGATTAACCGATGTTTTTACGGTAGTCTATCAGAGGGATATCGCTTCGCTTAGGAATCTTGTAGCAAAGGTTTTAGCGTTCAATTGGGGTATACAGTGCCGTAGTATTATAGTTAGGCTGCACCGTAGTCTAACCTAGTGAATTTTATAGAGCATTGGATAGCATGATATATAACAAAAAAGTATCCAGAGGCAGGAGGGGTCATCCTAACACTAAACCCGAGTCACCAATCAAACCCAAGAAAATATGTATAGTATAATAATATTATAATAGTATAAATCTTAGAATCAGACGGGCGAGGAAGGAGGAAATTCTTTCCCATGCCCAGCCAATTTCACCAACTCAACGGCCTAGAGAGAGCAACCGCCCACATTCATTCGGTGTCGGCAAACTGAGCTAATATTGTTTCTATTCCTATTTTTTTTCGTTTGGTCACATCATTTATCCCGAGTATACAAGAATATTACGGTAACGATAGGATAAACCTTGCCGCTTTCCTTTACCAAGTCATATCGTATCTCTCATTTTCCTCCAAAGAAAGTGGTTATGAAGCTAGTGTTTCCTTGACGGAGTCCGGGTCCCGCTTACCCCCCCCCTCATGCGGCGTCATTTCGATTCCACAAAAGTCATTTCTTGACATTTTTATTCCCCTCCCGAGCTCTCGAATGTCGCAGGCGGGCACTTCCAAGAATAAAACCTATGTTACAGAAATGCCACATTATGCAGGGCATTCAAGACGATATTGGTAAACTCCCCTCCGCTCTCTCCTATCTCGGCTCTCCTAGAAGAAGAGTTCGGGTGTTCTTAGTCACCCGGATTCCGTTTAGCTTGGGTTAGGTTGGGTAGGCGGACATCAATTGAGCCCGGTTTAGGCTGGGCTTAAGAATTTACAATCCGGGTAGGCCCCTGGCGAAGTTCCCGTAAGCCCAGCGACGGCAGCCCCAGAGAGGACAACTATTTCCCCGATAGCAGCAGTCGGGGCCATTGGTTCAGGTCTAATGAGGGTCCGGTTTTTTCCTGTGGAGATTTCCCCAGAATCGCACAGCCGGTTTGAAAAGCAGAATCCAGCTACGGTATTGCGCTAAGATTTCCTAGGTTTTTTCTAGTACCGTAAAATCTCGAATAATTGGGCCTTGTGCTATGTCGTTGGAGTTGCCTCCTTGGGTAAGGTCTACTGTTTGTTTTTTTTGTTTTTTTAAGTCTCTCAGAGGGGCTGAGCAGCTCTTTTTTGCCGTGTTTTTCACCCCTATTCCAAAGTGGGGAACTTTCGACTACATGGCACAAGGTCCAATTGTTCAAGATTCGACGGTATCACACGGTGTCTTGCAAAACGGACCAGAAAAGTGCACGGAAAGGATTTTAGATGAGCCAAACGTTTCCCCAGAGGAAATGGGGACAGCCACAGACAGGAATTAGCAAGGCCAACATCCCCCCTTCTACCCCAACCTATGTTCACCGCATCGTCTATGGTGGTACAAGCTCCTATCGATTTCAAAATGGATAAAGCTGTGTGCTACACACTAGTGAATACTTGTGGAACCTGCCACAAGTGTTTTCCAACTTGCTCCTGCGGCCCCTCGGCATGCTCCTGCTGTGTGTGAAAATAATACAGCAAGGAATGTGATAGTAAGATTTTATGGCAACCTCCGCTACCTCCTGGATGGGAGCTTGGGTAGAAATAGCGCGATAACCCACGATTTGAATGCATATGAAGCCAGTGTTTTGGCACAGCGGATTTAGAATGAGCCAGACCTAAGTCTCAAGCCAGCTCCACCCCCATGATTAATCGGGTCAAATAACTTGTGGCTCGTATAGTAACCGAAGCCCAATCTGGGTTCCATATCACTCCAACATGGACAATCACTCCCATAGGTTGCAGCCGAGGAACTTCCATATCTCTCCCTAGCAAGATACAGCCTTTCTACTCCACTCGGTCCTGCTAGTAGTCTTCCGATTACTTATTATCTATCCATCCCCTTTCCTCAGCACAGTGTTCAAGTCTTTACATACTCTCCATCGGGTCTTTCCCACCAACATATCCCAGACCTGAATTATCGAAATCATCCAAACTTTGATTCGAGTTCCCTCCTTCAATAAAGAAATTGTGAAATGGTAGAATGGGGAGCCAAATATGGGCTGTTCGGGAAGGGGGGAGTGGTGCGGAATGCTCAGGGATGAGCATGGGGAGGCAGCCAAGATCTGAAGGATTCGAGAAAGCTGTTCCTCTTTCTGTCTTTCCATCTACTCCCCCGCAGCCTCTCTCTATTTTATACTCTTTTGTCTGCTGCCCCCCTCCCCCATCATTGCGGTCATCTACACATTCACTTTTATATACTCTTTTTAATATCCCCTCTTTAAATCTACATATAATCTTAGCAACAAAAGAAATGTACCTTCTATTTTCCATAAAAAACAATTCCTAATAAGCACCTATCCAACAACAACAAGAACAAAGAATCTGAAAAACCCGCGACTGTTTTTATTTTTTCTTAACGGAGTTTAGCCCAAGAATTCACATAATTAAGGTCACTGAACCTGCTCTATGTTGTGAAATGGAAGGTCGAATTCCGCCCCAAGAATGTAAATCCGTATAGAATTTTGTAATTTTACCCTACGGGCTTCACGTCATTGTGCGTTTTCCTTATTAAATTCTCACATTCATATTTATTGGGCCCAATACCTCCCCTCTGCTACTAAAGCATAGGCGAAATAGCTAATAAGGAATACGGCACGACTACAGACAAGTCGAATGCATCTGTAACTAACATACTAACACCCGGAGCCAGCCACATCAGTCCTAGACTACAAGACTCTAACTTAGAGCTCTCAACGTTTATCAACCTAAGCTAGGATTTATCCCAGCAAGTGGGAAATTGTCTCTAAAGTACGTGTCCCTGGCAAGAGGCGTCCTGACACAGAGATTGGAAAATATATATGGCCAATCATCCATGGGTACTTCTACGCGCGAGCAAAACTCTATCCCTCAATGTTTAGGTACTCTTTACTTAGGTCAAGGACCTCACCAGTTCAGCCCTACCCAATGCCTGGGCCTTTATACATACTTCCAGACCTGCGTTGTCTATCTGACATTGTATGCCTCCTATGCTCCCATAGGCAGCTCGGGCACAGCATAGGCAATGGTATTAGAGAATGGCACATACCCTACAACCTAAAGTTTCGGAGTGATAATCTATGATGAAGAGTGTACCCCAACACCCACCATTCTGGACCCCACCCTCTCCCTTCCAACCTCCAGAAGCCTAACTCCTGTCAAATATTTGCTCAAGCCTTACCCAAGACAACTTTACTTCCCCCGCCGCGTGAACAATCTTTTTCCCCACAGCGGCAACTATTCTCCTGCATCTCTACAAACAACCACCCCAGGTTCACCCTACTATCATACACCGGAAGTCACTGCTCCATCCCATTCTACCCGACACTAACTCCGCCCCAGGCCTCAAAATGTGTCGCAGTGTCACTCTTCATTTCGCTTGCCTCCACATCCGCGAACACACTTGCCCCTCCATCCAGGCGTGCAACACCATCGACCCGAATTCGATCGAAGCCACAACCCACGAGGTCGTGTACCGCTTCGTCCGGATAAACACTGAGTGCTGGGATTGTGCCGCTCACAAGGCCAGAAACCCCAAATCGCACCAGCCTGGAGTGTATGAGTCCGACGGCGACAGCGACTACAACGACGAAAATGATCCGGAGTCTATGGCTATCGTAAGGCGCTAATTTAAAGTTGCAGAATGTTCTATAGCTAACCCACGATGGCAGGATGGAGAGATGTAGAGGCGAGGTGACGGTATTGATTCAGCAGCCTATTGGAAGATCGTGGGAGGTCGGGTTGTTGGATTATTTCCAGGTGGATCGGATCAAGTGCTTTGAGCTACTTGGAGGTTTTACAAAAACGCTGTTAATCACATGAGACAGTTTTTCGACGGGCGAAATGATTCCCTGAACATGTTATGTGGAGACTTTCGTTCCAGATCTCAATATGATTGACCCCTTCGCTAGCACATGGCTGGCGTTTAGCTCTTAATGACTTACCAAGTCCTTCTTTGGCACTTGGATGTTTCTTATAGATAACTGAGGTACCTGATAACCTCCCGGACCAGAAATACCTCCTGTATCTTAACATTGCAGTGTGAGACTGATATATGCTTAAACAAATCTCCAACACCTATGGCTTAGCCTTGACCAGCGAGAACCTGAAACTGATGGAATAAACCAAGCCTTGCGCCAACTAAACGACACAAACATAATTCCAGTAGCCGCTTGTACACAAACCTCACCCTAGGGCATTGGAGTTAGTTGCCTTTTCCAGTAAGGTCCGGCAGCTTTTTTTCCCGTCTTAAACCGGGGTTGAGGCAGTAGTTCTCGCTGTGCTTTCGCCCCCTATCGAAAAGAAGGAGTTTGGATGTCTTGGCGGAGGAGAGAAAGGATATGTACCGTATTAACCATAGGCAAAAAGAGCTGTGCAAACACAACCTAATACCCCAGATCAAGAGATCCACCCCCGAGGCACATATCGCACATCGCCAGGGAGCCAATTCTGTCCCAGGGAACGGGACCCCCAAAAGTTTAGAAACATATATATAGCTCACGGGATATTGAAAAGAAGAAAAAAAACGCTCGCACCTGGTTCCAGTGACACAGTGAGCTGTGCAATCGCTGCAGACATAGGTTACTAGTCAATTCATAAAGGGACCGGAGATGAGGAGGCCGAGAA